ATAAATTATACCTTGCTTTCTCTAGTCTTTCTGCCCCACTATATTGTTCCCAGTGATTTTAATCTTGTGTCTCTCTCCACTTATATGAATTCTCCCTCTATACCAGTTCTGTATATAAGCTCCCCATTATTACTTCTTATTCACCTTTTCTTGATGGCAAAAATTATGACAAAGGTTTTATGTTTCTCTTTTTAAACCTGTTCTTATGGGTTTAGAGTCTATTTTTGCTGGTATTTCCGATTCTATGGAATCTCAAATGGATGTGGCCTGTCTCCACTCTTCCCTTTCTACTCTAGCTTCTCGATTGTCCCAAAGGTCTTTTGCAGGCCAGTTTCCTGAATCTCCTGTTCATGTTTCCAGACCTTGTAGCTTCGGCACCACGATCCATTGGAACACAAGGTCATTTCCAACCTTACCAATGGTTATCATCCTCTAGAGTGGAGCATAGACTACTGACTTTTCCCATTAAAGAGGGAGAAGAGTTGTAAGCTACAGAAGAATATTCCCAAGACATTACAAACTTGATATACAAGTTGAAAAATGGTTCAGGAGGTGGGATGTCTTTTCGAGGCTCATTTCCAACCTTACCAATGGTTATCATCCTCTAGAGTGGAGCATAGACTACTGACTTTTCCCATTAAAGAGGGAGAAGAGTTGTAAGCTACAGGAGAATATTCCCAAGACATTACAAACTTGATATACAAGTTGAAAAATGGTTCAGGAGGTGGGATAACTTTTCGAGGCTCATGAGTAACTGTCTGAGCAAAAGAAGGTGCCGGAAAAATTCATACCAGTCTGCCCTTTATCCCCCACAAGCTCAGCCTCTGAGCCAACAAGAAAAAATACATCAGACCTCATGTAAGGCTCTGTGTATGATGGACTGGATGGCTTCTGCAGAGACATCAATTTGTGATTTCACATCTGAAAACATCTCCGAAAATTTTTTTTTATAAAATAAGGAAAATAGATAATTAACTCAAGACCCAAAAAGACAGGTAAAAAAAAACTGTTCAAAGTGTAGTTAACAGCTACACAACACTGAAGAGAAACCTGCAGAAAGCACATAAAACTGTCATCATAGCATTCTGCCATCTTGAAAGTGAATAGGAAGTAATAATGTGAAGCTAATGTACAGATATGGGTTAGGGGGTGCAGGTTGAGAGAATCACAAGATTTAACTTGCTTTGGGCAATATAGTGGGATATAAACGCTAGAACAAGCAAGGTAAGATTCATACCAATGCTTAGATGGACAGAGAAGAGAAACTTTTGTTGGGATAAAGCTAAAGTGTGAGAAAGGTAAGTATTATTGAAAATACATTTTTGGTATATGAAAATATTTTTACAAACTTGATTTAATGTTTAATTTGTTTAACTTGTATATTAATCGTATCATCACCTTTAAATTAAGAAAAATATGAAACACCTGATGTTTTATTACACAGGCTTGTGAATTTAAACTTCATAAAAGTTGTTTTGCTTTTAATAACAGATTTTCATTAATTCAGCTACGCAGATTTCGAAAATAATATTCATTGTTTCTATCACGTAAGGATTTTTTTACAAATCGGGAAGAAAAGAAAACTATCACTTAGATCAAATTATTATTTTGTTTATCACAATGAACATTTCTTATTATTATGATTTTTAACAAAAATACAAACAAACTGAAGAAAAGGGAAAAACATTGACGTCAAAAGAATATGCATCCTCATTCATCCCTGATTATTTTTTGTGAAATCTACGTTTTTTAGTCTCAAAACTATGTGTTGTGGTCTTTTTTTTTATATATTGCATCTGTAGCACCTCCTTTCAATGAACAGCAGTAATCAGCCATCATGCTGATGTTCCACTTTCCGTGATACCTCCTCTCCATTTCCTTGATGTCTTGATGAAACTTTTCACCTTGTTTATTCCTGATGGCATGAAGATTTTCAGGGAAATAGTCAATGTACGAGTATAAGAAATGAACCTTCAAACTCATATTACAATCCAACTTTTTGCATTTATTGAGCATGTTAAAGACAATATTTTCATAATTTGGGTCCTTGATGCTTCCTAAAAATTTGTCAATAACATCTTCAGAGGCAAACCACACTTCTTTTTCAACTTTCCTCATCGTCCTTTCGAACTGTTCACGCAAAGTAATTTTCCTAATCTGAAGCCCAACAAAAATTCCCTCTAAGTTTTACTTTTGAAAGAGCTGGGAATTGCTTACATAGATACTTGAAACAGTCCCCATCTTTGTCTAAGGCCTTTACAAACTGCTTCATCA